CCCGATACCAGTATCAAATGTGTATATATATATACACAGTATATATATATATATATTATACACACACACATATATACACACACACACACACACACACACACAAAGAAAAACAAGTAGATAAAATAGAAAAAATAGAAAGCTAGTGTTTGTTTGTTTCTTTTGTTTTTTGTTTAAAAAAAGAAGAAGATAAAAATAAAGTAGAATTAAAATAGAATAGAAAGTGTTAGACTTAGAGGGTCAAATAAAAATGGAACAGATGTGTTTTTAGTCGTTTCTTGAAGATGGTTAAGGACTCAGCTGCTCGGATTGATTTGGGCAGGTCATTCCACCAGGAGGGAACAGTTAATGAAAAAGTCAGTGAAAGTGATTTTGTGCCTCTTTGAGATGGCACAATAATACGCCGTTGAGAGCTCTCAGACCCTGCATAGACAGCAATGCAACTGTAATGTTCCCAGGTCCAGAAACGTAGTAAGGACATCGGTAAAACAGTCCATGTGACATCAGTGGCTCAACTTCAATTTTGCGAAGCTACGAGAATACTTTTTGTGCGCAAAGAAAACAAAAATTACTTTATTCAACAATTCTTCTCCCCCAAGTTACTTCTTACGCCATTTTAGAGAGTATCACAATGCATACGCACGCTTTCCCCTAAGCGTAAACAACGCTGATTACGCAGATTACGTTCATGCGCGTGCTTTCTCCCCCGAACGTAAACAACGCTGATTAGGTCAATAGTCCAGCCTGGATAGAACAAGAGCTTGAACAAGGAGTTGTGTTGCATGTTCTGAAAGAAAGGGCCTGATCTTCCTAATGTTGTATAAAGCAAATCTGCATTAATTAATTAATCTGCATCTAATTAATGACAGAATTTTCATTTTGGGGTGAACTAACCCTTTAACATCACAGGATATATATGCCATCATAAATTACATTTTAAAATATAATTTGGAAACAGTTATTTTAAAATGAACAATATTATTAGTAATATTATTCCACATTATTACTGTTTTTACTTTATTTTTAATCAAATAAACACAGCTCTAGTGAGCATAAGTGACTTCTTTCAAAAACATAAAAAAAGTCTCACTGGCCCCAAACTTTTAAAAGGTAGTTCTTTAATGAGGGGCTATTTTGACCTCTTCAAACTATGTTTCGTTTATGTTAAGCATTTATCACATGGTTTTTGGCCTTTGTCAACTTTCAAGTGAATTTTGGTTTAATGTGTGATGGTGTGAATTTTTTGACGTTATTTGTGACTAATGATGCATGTTGTTTTCTCAAGTTTTTGGAAAAACTCAATGGTTCTGGTGGGAAAATGTACTTAGTGCATTTTTTTGCTTGATTTTCACACTTAATAAATTTACTATAAAGATTAGTACAGAACAGCACAACCCAGATGTTCGAATTTGTGCAACGCATTTTATGGACGACAGTTTTTTAACAAGGCTGGTTGTGCACAAAGGCTATTTAAAAAAAAAAAAAAGGGTAAATTCCGACTTTGCTATGACAATCTGGCGCTTCTGAATCAGCGACTGTAAGTATGTTTTGTTATTAGTTCAAGTATTTGGTATTGGCTGTTCAAATGCGGAGTTTTGCGCAGCGCAGAGTAACGCGTCGTGTGTGTGTGTGTGAGGGGAACAGGGTCACATCACAGGAGAGTGAACTGCCTGTCAGAAATCATAGCACGTCAGCTGTCTTAACCGCGGCTTGTGTACTGCATCATCACTGTGTCTGTCACGCGACTCTGTTGCCCTTTCGGGCTTGAACTGATGGTAAAACTAACGGCAATATTAACTGTCTTGATATTTACTTTGAAAGCTGAAGCTAGTGATTATGGTAAGGGGTGTTACATTTCCGACGCGTGCTTGTGGTGTTCGGCCAATCACAATGCACTGGGTCAGCTGGCCAATCAGAGCAGACTGCGCTTGTCAAAGGAGGGGGCTTGGTTGAAAACGACGTGTTTGAGAGAGGTGGGGCATAGAGGACCTTCAATAATGTACAGTATTTGAAAAATAATGTGTTTTTTGAACATTAAAGCATGTCAACATATTCTGTTACACCAAATACACAAAATAATGATCTTTAAAATAGCATCATATGACCCCTTTAAATGTCTGGATGGGGGAAAGGCTTAAAAATTAAACATTTAAAAATAAAGTTTAAGGAATGTACTATAATACATACTTTAAGTAGCAAGCATGTTAAAAAAAAACACTTACGGTACAGATTAAGGAAGAATCACCTATTTACATCAAAATTGTTCTCATAAAATCAATCAGTCATCTGATTCTTACATCTGATCACACGGTGTGGGGTAGGGAGATGCCTCTAGTTCTTTTGTGGGCTCGCTCACAAAGATGTCACCTTTACAGGTGACCGACCAGATGGCTTGTTTCGAGGGTGGGCCCTGAATACCTCTAGAGTCACAACAGGACACACTGAGCAGAGCCAGCTGAAAGGATGAACAAACAAACTGTCAGGCAAACAGCAGGGTAATCACAAAGTGCAGTGCAATTTCCCATGATTAATGTTCTCTCCTCACCCAGTCGTGCATCTCCAGCTCTGTGGCCGCAGCCAGGCGGATGGGCCACCTCTGTTTGGTTCGCTCTGCTGTATAGATGGCAAATGTGTGTTTGGAGTCATTCAATACTGGCACCAGGATTGTCACTTCGTTAATGAACACGTGGAGATACTGGACAGAGAAAAGAGCAGAAAAAGAGGGTAAAATAGGGGTTGAATTTAGACCACATGAAATCACTTTACAAGCACAGATTTCTTTCCTGTGTTCATATACAGATCCATTCACAAGTTTGATGTTGATGAGATTTTTCAATGTTTTTGAAAAAAGTCTCTTATGCTCATCAAGGCTGCATTTATTTGATAATTTTTTTATTTGACAAAAATACAAAAACAGTAATATTGTGATAGATTAATAAAATGTAAAATATCTGTTTTTCTTATTATTATTATCATCATTTTGAAAAATAGCTCTGCTTAATACTTTTGTGGAAGATTCTTTGATGAGAAGAAAGTTCATACTGTAAGTATAGCATTTATTTGAAAACATCTTTACTGTCACTTTTGAAAAATGTAATGCCTCCTTGCTGAATAAAAGTATTACATTTTAAAAATAAAATCTTACTGACTCCATACTTTTGATCAGTGGTGTATTTCCAACAGAAATGTCTTGTACATTTTTTACCTCTTTTTTAAAAAAAACAGCAAATAAGCTTTAGATTAGTTTCTAGCTACAGTATAAATAATGTGGCATTAATTTTTAGTCCATTTTCCCAGTAGAGAAAAGCTGATCGTGTGCCAAAAATAGATTTTTATCAACTTTTAGCAGTACGCTAACCTTACTAGATGGCATCAAAGCTAATAAACATGGAATTAAAGCCACAAAACTACCATTTTGATTCCATAAAGGATGTGAGATTACCTTCTTTTCATCATTAAATGTGTAGTAGATAAACAGAATCCCATCCTTGTTACCCTCCGTTCCTGAAAACTGCTCCAGTGCAAACTGAACATCCACCCACTTATGAGGTTTCCAGTCTCGCCACCACTGCATGGTGCCCTTCTTCACCCACACAGACTGTGAAAAGGACAGGATTCAGGGTGAATCATTTATCAAATTATAAGCATTTTTTAAGGTTTGAGACAAAAGATTCATTTTCTAGGGGTAACTCCTCGGTTCTACCAAGCTGAGGGCCACTGTCATTGTAACTGTTGCTCAGACTATCGATCTAACTCTTGGAGCACTTGTGTGGACACTTACTGTTGCTATGTCAATGACAGTCTGGATATAATTTAAAAACAGATAAATGACAAAACTGGTTAGTATTACCGAAAACATCAGATGAGGTAAACAGTTTTGTGTGTGAGCACTACCTGTTCAATGGCCTGCTCATAATTCATGAAATTCTCCATTTCTCTCTTGGAGCGCTCGCTGAGCTGCTCAAATATCTGTTTACGCCATGCTGCCGTTTGAGCAGGTGTAATGGAGAGAGACATGGCCTGCATGGAGGAGTTCAGGGCTGAGGAGACAATCACATCTGATACGGTCAAGGACAAAGTGAATCATCAGATTCAATTACACAGATGGCAATAGGGCTGCACGATATTGGGAATATATGAACACGATATTTCCTGCAAAATTGCAAAAAAAAAGGGCTAAAAATTCATTTTTACTCTGAAGATTTTTTTTGTGTAAAATCCTTTTAGGGCCGAATGATTTAGGAACAACTAGAAAAATATGGCTTTTTATATTTAGATTTGCCAACTCAAATCTCTTTCTGCAACCATTTCAGAAATATCTTTCCACTTGAGGCCATATTCAAAGGTTTTTGACCAATTCAATATTGCTATAAAATATATCATTATTTTTATTGTGATTATTATGAAATAAAAATATTAAACAGAATAAAAAATATATTGTAACAAAAATTACACTACTAATATTTGCATTCTAATTTCTTTTTTTTTTTTTTCAAATGGTAAACCATTGGGTTTTATTTTTATAGTTTGCCAGCAAATAAAAAAAATATGTGCTGCCAGTTTCATACTGGAACTTGGCACCGTGTTCATTTACACGCATGTAGCCCATGATATCAGCATCTCAGAACGGCTCGATTCACAGTAAATAAACCAAGCTGTTTTTAGAAACTGAAACACTGTGTAAATGCAGCACTTCACTTGAAACCGGCAATGCATATATTCAATTAATTGAATCTTGACAATTGCACTAAACCATATCACAATATCGATTTTGTTTCAATATGTCATGCAGCCCAACATGATACCCGGCTGACCTGTGGATGTAGAAGAGTTGAACCAGTTGAGCTGTGTGTGACACTCAACCAAACATCCCCCACCGCTAACCCAGGCCCATTTTGGATGCTCATCTGGCCCGTAAGGCTCCTCTTGGGCCAAGTTATAGGTGGCTACAGAGGACAGGCTGCTGGTTTCAGCTGCGTCTCCTCCAGGTCCAGCTGTGAGGTGCGTCTGGGCTTCCTCTAGGTCCACATTGCTCCATTGAGGATCCACCCCACCTGATTGGCTAGGAGACAGAACCTGGGCTGGGGAAGCCCTGTCCTCCAACTCTTTTTCTGGGTGATCTTCCTCAGGAATAGATGGGCCAGCTGGGGGGACGTCACGGCGACTGATTTGGCCTTCACGGTCAGACACGAGCTCTGAGATGAAGCTGTCACTGGTCACTTTGGGGATGCGTGGTTTAGGGGCGTCTCCTATCTCAGGTGTTGGGACAACTTCACCCCCAGCTCTCTCAGTCTCAGGGTCTGCATCACTCAACACTGATGCCTGGGACTGCAGACGCACTTCACCACCAAAGAAACAACCAGCACTGTGAGGTGTAGAGACACAAAGTGTTAACATGTACAGCACCAGGAGTTTGGAATCACTATGACACGTTTATATTTTTGATTATTTAAGTTATACATTTTAACTTGTGATGGTAAGGTGCTTTCAGTATCCATCAATCCAGTCTATTAAGAGAACACCTAATGAAATTATCTATTTATCTATTATCTATTTGTTTATCTAAACTAATTATCTCATTTGAATTCATTGATTTGTGCAAAAATGTTCAACTATTATTGCAAATTAAATAACAATTTAAAACACTATAATTAAATGAAAAAAAAAAAGATTATTTGTCACATATGACAACACACTGCAAACTATTTTTTAAAGAATACCTAGCATTTCATGAACAATATAAATATTAATCCGATCACATAAGACAACACATTTTTTAAACTCTTATGCCACATTGTCTTTTTCAGTTTCTGAATTATTGACTACACTTGCAATGCTGAAGTCTACTTTTGGTTTTAAAGACACTCCTTTCTCTAGAAATTGATCATGCTGTGACAAAGCAACTTGATCCCATTCATTTGACTTCTGCCGTTCATTTAGTGACTTCTGGACAGATGAGCGACAGTGGCTGTTGGTAACAGGATGTAGGGCGTGTCAAGCAACATGACATGACATGATTTTTGCTGTATTCACCAATAGTAGAATATTACTTTTAATCAGTGTTGGGCAAGTTACTCTGAAAATGTAATCAAATTACTGATTACTCCTTTTAAAAGTAATCACGTTACTGTTCTGATTACTTTATTTCAAAAGTAATTAGTAATTAGTTACATTACTAGTTACGTTACTTTTTTCTCCATAAAATTTATGAAATCCCAGCATACACACTACCGATAAATATTTGTTATTAAAGCATCAACATTCTCAGAACACTGTTATTTTTAACTAAAGCAAGCGGCTGCTGCGTGCTCTAATTACTATTTTGAAAATTATAACGCGTTAAATTACTCCGTTACTAAAAAAGTAATCAAATTACAGTAACGCGTTACTAAGTAATGCGTTACTGCCCAACACTGCTTTTAATTCTTTTAAAATCTTAGTTTTAGTGGCAATATATTTAATTTGCAATAAAATGTCTAAAGAAATGTCCAGAAAGGTCTACCAATAACATACAACAAAAACTAGGAATGTCGCAACTAGGACATGCAAACTGATCACAATGTGCAAATTTTAAAGTCCACTAACCTCTGAAGGCTGCTTGCGCTGGCGCTAGAGTTGGAACGTTCACTATCTCTGGGTACAGACACAACTTTCCAGGCCTTCCCACTCAGCTCGCTGGCAGTCACACCCTGGCGGAAATATATCGCCCGGTCTTCAAAACCAATACCCCACACCTGAGCACAGAGACACATCACATGATCTTCACAGATCTCAGTGTAATAACTGCTGAAATGGTTTCAGAACCATTCTCGCTAGAAACATACAGTGCCGTGAAAAGGTTTTTGTCCCCTTCCTGTTTTTTTTAATTTTTGGCATATTTGTCACACTTAAAAGATTCAGATCAAACTAATTTTTATATTACACAAAGATAATGCAAGTCAATACAAAATGCAGTTAAATGATGATTTCATTTATTAAGGGAAAAAAACTGTCCAAACCTACCTGGCCCTATGTGAAAAATTAATTGCCCCCACTTGTTAAATCATGAAAGAACTGTGATTAACCACAATATTTTAGAGAGCTGCGTTAAATTTCACTAGCCACACCCAGGCCTGATTACTGCCAGACCTGTTGAATCAAGAAATCATTTAAAAAGAACCTGTCTGACAAAGTGAAGCATGTTTAAAGAGCAACACATCATGCCGCGATCTAAAGAAATTCAAGAACAGATGAGAAACAAAATAGTTGACATGTATCAGTCTGGAAAGGGTTATAAAGCCATTTCTAAGGCTTTGGGACTCCAGCGAACCACAGTCAGAGCCATTATCCACAAATGGAGAAAACTTGGAACAGTGTTGAACCTTCCCAGGAGTGGCCGGCCAACCAAAATTACTCCAAGAGCATTAGCGGGGATGCGTCGCAATATTGGAAATATTTCTGTTTTAAACCGTGAAGGCGAGCCAGTGGATATCACACAAGCAACGTGCAAACTTTGTTCAAGACTTAATGCCGGTGAACGTCTTTCACCATGAAAGTGAAAGTAAAAACTGACGGCGCTTTCTGCATCTGACAACGCACGCATTAACGGCGCATATTCTCTCAAAGACTTTATAAAGATATTACTGTTTTAATTTATTTCCTTAATGTTTCTCTTGTGGCCCGAACATATTGAAAACAATGAGAAGAAACGTATTTCGTGTTGAACAGGTTTTCTTTGAAAGTCGGCGCTTAAAATAAAGCTGCTCTTAAGTTTCATTGATGACTGAAGTGTTAACAATTTTATTTAGGCTATAGGCCTATAATTCATTGGAGGCTATAATAGACCTGTTTTAAAAGACATTTTTAAAACATTTTCAATGAGGAGTAGCCTAAGCTAATAGCCTAATCTTTTATTATCCTCACAGCGCGTCAGTTATGCGGTGATGCCCTATGAAATTATTGCGGAGCAAATTAATTGTAATATTAATTTAATAATAAAAGTAACCTAATAATAATAGCCAGAATGTAACAGGCCTACATTAATTGGAAATGCCAAATACTCTTAATAATGACCATATTTAATGCTTTTGACAATATCTCTGGCTATCGTCGATACATGATCATCGTCTTTCAATGCACCTCATCGTCTTATCGCGGGGCCCCAAACATGCAGCTCAAGCACACTTGGGTTATGCAGCAGGACAATGATCTCAAACACACCAGCAAGTCCACCTCTGAATGGCTTAAGAAAAACCAAAATTAAGGTTTTGGAGTGGCCAAGACAAAGTCCGGACTTAAATCCGATTGAGATGCTGTGGCATGATCTTAAACAGTCCATTCATGCTTGAAAACCCTCCCATGTGGCTGAATTAAAACAATTCTGCATAGAAGAGTAGGCCAAAATTCCTCCACAGCAATGTGAAAGACTCGCCAGTCGCTTGCCAGACACACAATTCTGCAAAGAAGAGTGGGACAAAATTCCTCCACAGTGATGTGAAAGACTTGTTGCCAGTTATCACAAACGCTTTATTGCAGTTGTTGCTGCAAAGGGTGGCACAACCAGTTATTAGATTTAGGGGGCAACTACTTTTTCACGTAGGGCCAGGCAGGTTTGGACAGCTTTTTTCTCTTAATAAATGAAATCATTATTTCAAAACTGCATTCTGTATTTATTCGGGTTATCTTTGTGTAATATAAAAATTTGTTTGATGATCTGAATCATTCAAGTGTGACAAATATGCTAAAGATTAAAACAGGAAGGGGGCAAAAACCTTTTCACGGCACTGTACTCAGATGAATTCATATATATGGCATAATATCTGGTATTTTAACACCAATATTTGTACATTTGTGTGTAATGTTTCACACAGGAAAAAAAAACGTTTATGCCACATTTTCATATTTGTATTTATGGCATTGATTAATGCATCGATCTATATGAAAGTTTCTGGGTTAAACCTTCAAAAGATTTTAGTAGCCAAGAGTATGCACTGTCTTTATTCTGCTGTTTCCTGCTTTTTATGTTGAAATATGTACCACATGTACAGTTATTCAATGTAAAAAGTACATCAGAGACAGAAATGAATGAGATAAACCAAAGAGGAAACACTACTAATCTCTGACCTGATCATTGAGACCCACGTTGATCATGACCATCTCTCCAACCATACCTATCCAACCTGAGCCACAAGGATTATGAGAATTCACACCCCGTCTAAACCAGACCTAATAAAAATAAGGAGATGTGGAAAAACAAGATAAATAAGAATAGAAAAATGTACATATCTGTTCAAAAGTTTGGGGTTGGTAAGATCTTTAAATGTTTTTCAAGTACCTTATGCTCAACAAGGCTGGATTTATCTTATCAAAAATAAAACAACAAAATTATAAAATATTACATAAATGTTTAACATAATTAACATAACTATTTAAGATATTTTAAAATATAATTTATTCCTGTGATGGCAAAACTTATTTTAAAGGGGTCATATGATGTTGCTAAAAAGAACATTATTTTGTGTATTTGGTGTAATGCAATGTGTTAATGCATTTTAAGGTTAAAAAAACACATTATTTTCCACATAATGTACATTATTGTTTCTCCTCTATGCCCCGCCTTTCTGAAACGCGTCGATTTTTACAAAGCTCATCGGTCTGAAAAGCGAGGTGTGCTCTGATTGGCCAGCTATCCAATGCGTTGTGATTGGCTGAATACCTCAAGCGTGTGACGGAAATGTTACGCCCCTCATATTGTCACGCCGTGTCCCGGCGCGGCGAGACAAAACCAACATCAATATTATCATATGTCTATCATCTACCTAATTTGTTTTGTGTGTACTTCACCACTACACTCACCCTTCAGGCAATCTCTGCCAATGCCCTCCCTGACCAGCAGATGACCCTCCCACAGGACAGCCCACACCAGGTCACCCGGGCCGCAGCTGATCTGCACAACCTCCCCTGGTACAGGTACCTCCTCCCAAACGGAGCCCTCGGGACTATGATGGTTGATGCCACACCGGAACCACACCTGCTCGAATGTACAAAAAAAACTGATCTTTATGTGGATAAACGGAAATTCATCTGAGTTCCAAGAATTACACTCTGTACAGCTTTGTAAGAACTGAAAAATTAATAGATTATAAAAGCATGAGGTGTTGTTGGACACTGTATGTAAGCCTGGAACGAACTGAGTTCTGACCTTTCCCTGCAGAGAGACCGCCCACAGTGCCAAACACCCTCTGGGCTCCTCAGTGATCTCCCAACTACCACAAGTGATGTCATTAAACGGGTCAGGAAGAGACTCAGTCTGCTCTGATGGGATCTGCTCTCACATATAAAATTCAAGTTTTTCCATCAACATTAAAGAGAAACCATTAAGATAAGATATACTGTATAATTGCTTTCAAGACCTTTGTGCTGTTACACACCTTGACCCAAGTGTCCTGTGCCTTGTACCTTCTGTATCGTATCCATCTGCGACGACGCACGCAAGAGTTCCATTTTTTGTCTTTCGTGTAAGTGGCTGGAAAATCAATAGCATATGTCCATCCCTGAAAACACACAGAATATCAGCTACGGCTTAACGCAAGTGAAAGCTCTTTCTGTGGTTTTAAAGACGTCAATACTGACTGACCCCTTTCTCTGTGGGCTCTCCTCCAAAGTTTTCATCCACGTACCAGTCCGCCTCCCACTCCCAGTTCTCAGAGGGCAGCTGAAAGTCACCCAGAGGCTGGTGCTTCAGCCCTGTGACATCACTCCACTGCCAGCGGTCACTGGGCAACAGCCGGTCCGAGAAGCCATCGACGGGGTTCCACCTCTGCCAGGAAACAGGAATCACATAAGTGAGTCTCATTTGATAATCAATGCTCTAGAGTTAATGAAAAATAATAGTGTTTACAATAAAAAACTTACAATTTTTTAGGCATGTATGGTTTCATATAGTTTTGAAATACTTTCATACTGTTTCGTGAAGAGTAACTATTTAATGACTCTTAAAATGCAATGTGGTGAAACCAAACTTATTTTTATTCAGTGCCAAGACTTAAGTTTTATTTGGGATATCCAATACTTTTTAAAGCCTGATTGAGGTTTGTTTCAATATTTTCAAATTCAACTTATTCAACTTTCAAATTCAACACTATTTTCAAACACATGCATTTTACTATTATGTCCTTACGTCGTAAACATAAATGTGGGCGGGACTAACTGAAACTGAGGAATCATCATGGACTCTTTTCACAAGACTGTGATGATGCGTTTCAAAGGTCATCAGCATCATTTTTTTTTAATATTTTGATTTTACAAACAACTGTACATACATTTATAACACTATACTTTGTCTCATATCACCTTTGCATCAAATTACAAAAAAACTAGTTAACGCTAATGCGAGAGTGTTTCTAATGCTGCGTCTATGGGAGAGATGGTAAATTTGACATCGTTCTCTCTCCTGACTACCATCATCAGTCTCTCTCAATTTTTTTCCTTTTTTTGAACATCGTAAAAGCACTATAGTGGAGTTTTTCTTTTGCTATATGAATGCAAAAATATATTTGTGGTACTTTCCCATTCACTGCTCTCCAAGTTTACTTGGATATAATTTCCTGTATATATTTTTTCTGCTTGTTGGTCAAACCCTATAACAATGATTTGTAGGGCTGGGTATCGATTCAGATGTCCTGATTCGATTCGATTCGCAAGCTCTCGATTCGATTCGATTCTCGATTTTTTGATTACATTCAGTGAATATAGTTTTAATACAAATGCTATTGATATTTCTAAAAAATTAACAGTAAACATCAGTTTACAAATGGTGAATTAATAAAAAGAAATTAAGAACCACATGCCTGTATTTTAACCCTATACTTTTTTTTGTATGGGTCCTTTTTAAAAAAAAAAAAATAGGGCCCTATAAAATGTTCTTAATTTTTCTGGTAATCAGATGAAGGCATAAAACATTAATTTAATTTATACTAATCAAATGAAAAGTAAACCCATTTATTTTTTGGCAAACAAAGTGCTGCACAACAGAGGTTTACTGTTAAAATTAAAAAGAAAATAGATGTGATTACTCCTTTAAAAATAAAGATGTATTAATATTTATCAGCAGTAGTAGCATTGATTCTTAAGACTGCTAAATAGTAATATATTCTGACAGTTTCTTAACGTTAAACTAAACATTTATTTTGACGGGTTGCGGTGAAGAACTTCCAGCTGCTGTGTATGTGATATGACGGTAGTTTTCTCAAATGAAACGGTAAAATGCTAATAAAGTGACTCTCAGAGCAGCTGGAGATGACATTCGTGTTCATATCATCATATAGTGAGATGGCAGAAGCTGAAAACACCGCGAGCGTCATCCGCGCTTTAGTCTGTGTAGTGTGCACAAAACAGTGCGCCGCGCCATCCGCCATTCATTCATTCATTGCGGAAATCATGGCGCCTAAGCGTGATATCAAATTCTTCCGCAGATTTATAGTATTACTGTAGCACTTCACCTGAGCATTGCGAATCACGCGTATGGCCATGATAAGCGCTGAATGAATGACAGGCTGTCTGTTGTAACATCGCGCAAGGTAAATAAGGGTGACATCTAGTGGAGAAGACTAATGATAAGATTCACGTTAATCAGATCTGGTTTTAAATGTGTGCTGAAATAAATCCCGGAAAAGATCGATTCGCGGCTTTTAAGAATCGATATCGAATTGACGTCATTTAAAAAAACGATTAATCGAAAAATCGATTTGTTTGCCCAGCCCTAGTTCCCACGCTACTTGAAAGTACTTGAATTTCAGACATATGGATTCAAGGCCTGAAAAGTACTTGAAAACAAACATAGGTCCTTGAAAGTGCTTGAATTAAATTTGAAAAAAAA